CAAAGAGGTGTTCTTGTTAACCTCGCATCTCTCATGTGCCTGAACATGGTTGAGGCTGCTCCTAGAGGGGAAAACTGGTACACTGCCTTTCCATATGCCACCTTCTTGACCAGCTTTCTTGAAAGGGTTGGGATGGATATGGGGGTTTATGTTAAGGAGGACCAGTGCGCCTATTTGCCAGTGTACCGTATCGCCGAATTGACCAATAATTTTATTGACCTTCGGCATACGGAGCATGAAGAGACCCCTGAGGCATCCTCAAGCAAACGTCCTCGGCTTACATGAGAGTCGATTGATGCAGGGTGGGGTGGAGCGTTGGAGCAGCAAAGGGGCCAGCAATGGATGTCTTTTGTTAAGAAGTTTACTAAGGCTTTGTTGGTTTTTTTTTCCAGTCTTTTTCTCCGGCACTCAAAACTGTCAGGTACTGAGGGGAGCAGTACATCATCTGACTAGGAAAGTCTCCCATTTTTTTAATTGTCCAGACAAATATTTTTCTATGCATGCAGTATTTTGCGAATTTTCCATGGCTAATTTCCCTAAGACAGGTGACGAGATCCAGTAATGGTCATCTCCAATGGTGCAATTTTTGTGACTTGCAAGATGATGTGGCAAGGAGGTGCAATTGCATCCTACACTTGCTATGATGCGAGAAGCTATTGCAAGAGTGAAAATTTGCTTGCAATTGAAATTGGCCCACAAGTGGGGACTATTGATGAAATTGCAATGTTTTCTCAAAATTATAGAAGTGGAAGTAGGGACTACCTATGAAATTGCAAATGAATTTCATTGGGGGAGATTTTAATCCGCTTTTGTTCTAAGCAGTTCCAATTAGGTCGAAGAATGTGTTACTTATTTCATCTTCATTTTTTAATGGTTTTCGAAAATTATGGTTTTATTAATATTTGGTCACAAATATAGTGACGATGATAGGCGTGAATAGTATGGATATGGCTTGATTATAATGATTTTTTATCTATGGTGATTTTTTCCCCCTTTTTCATCAAGACTCGTGCTTCTTTTATTCCCCCTGTGAATCTATCATGCTTCGTTTATAGTAAAATACCCTTTTAATTATACACAATAAAGAATCCATTAATTATGTATGCCTTTTATTGTATTTATTACTACAATGAATTCTCTCACTAAAAAGGGAGTGAAAACATCGTTGGTGGAAATTCAAGGAAATGAAAGCCTTTCCATATCCTAGGAACATTAAATTAATTACATAAGAATTTTCTATCTACCTTGTACGGGGTTTGGTCATTAATTATACTGATTGGGAGCCAATCAGTTTTACCTTTTGGGTTACCTATACATGAATGCAAATTTAATTATACGATTGGGAGCCAATCAGTTTAACTATACATGATCCCAATTAAACCTCTCTACAAGATACAATGGCTTGAAGCCTTGAACAAAAGCAACCTCACTCACAAGTTGGAAGATGGAATTTTGGTGAAGTCCCTTTGCCATTTCCACGAAAAAACTAACCAAACCAAATCAATTAACCAAACCAAACCAAATATAGAAAGCATTCACAATACCAAAAACCAAATATAGAAAGCATTCACCAAACCAAAAACCAAATATAGAAAGCATTGACCAAACCAAACCAAACCAAAAACCAAATATAAAACCAAAAATAAAAAGCATTCACCGAACCAAACCAAAAACGGTTGTCCATCATCCTGAGAAGAAAAAAAAACATAACAGTTGTCCATCATCTTGAAAACTAAAACGCAAAATCAGGTTGTCCTTGGGCTCGTTGACTGGGTTTCCTTGTCCTCTTCTCTTTCCTTTTTCCTCCTTTCATGGGTTTTCTTGTACTCTTCCACTGCAGCTTCAACTTGAGGTGAAACTGTTCTTGCTTCCGTGAGCACCATATGCCTTATGTAGTTCATGGGCTCTCGAACAAGGTACAAAGCGATCTGCATCCTCCTCACTTGAGTGCATGGCTATCAACATCAACAAACATGGTGCTTAGCGCATGATTCAAAAATAACAATCAATTGTGGTTTTCTAATATGCGAATTAGAATTGACTTTACCTAAATATAAGAGGAGTCCCAGCTTGCGCCATACATCCACATGCATACCCAGACTCCACTGTTAGACCTACATAAAATAAAAGCATTGCGTGATAAGAACCAAGTTGATAAGTCGTCATTTAATATCACAAAAAATGGGCATACTTACAGATGAAGTTGTTCCTGATCCTTTGAAGGATTTGGGTACGAAAACTTCGCAATCCTTGGTGGCGACAATCCCGGACCTTGTTCACGATAGAGAATCTTCCATAAGGCTTGCATAAATCTCATCTGTACAAATTAAGAAACGTTTGTACTTAGAAAGAGGTATTTACATTTTTTTGCGTTATAACGGCACAATGTCACAAATTTACCATTGTTTGAACAGATTGTAGTCGAAAGGAATTGCGGTCTTCATTTGGTTGTGGATCCAAGATATGGACTTATTCCCAGTAGGGTTTTGTAATCTACGTCCTTGGTTCCCCAAAATTTCCAGCAGTGACAATGACGTCGGAGGCAGACCCACCATTGACGTCGGAGGAAGTCCTAGTATTGACGTCGGAGGAAGTCCAAGAAAATGTTGGTGCCGGAGCCAGTCACACCACCCAGGAAGATAATGTCGCCGATCTCATATTTCTACAGCCTGAAGATATTAAAAAAATGAAGTTCGATGATACAGAAGAAGCCTATGATTTCTACATGGACTATGGGTTAGTCAAAGGCTTCGACATCAGAAAATCATGCATTGGTCGTGATAAGAATAAAGTTATGATATGGCGTGACTATGTATGCTCTGGCGAGGGAAAGAGGTGCATGAAGAGCACAGAACGAAAGAGAGAAGCAAGAGGGGAGACCAGATTTAACTGCAGAGCCAAGATGCGTGTTAAACAAGACAATGTCGATGGGAAGTGGTATGTGCACCAGTTTGATGATTTACACACACATGAAACGATCCCCAGAGAATATAGACACTACATGAAAGGGAAACGTCATATGAGTGATGCAGTCAAAGCAGCGATAAATTTTAGAAGAGCTGCAGGTATGAAAACTTCTCAAATTGTGAATCTGGCTGTATCAGAAGCAGAAGGCTACGACAATTTGGGGTACACGAGGAAGGATGCATATAATTATGTGGACAAAGAGAGGAAAGAACAAATCAGTGAAGGTGATGCCGCAATAGCCCTAGCCTACCTGCAAGCTAAATGCAGCGCGGACGAGCATTTCGTTATTGAACTAAAGAAGGATGACGACGACCGCCTTATTAACATTTTCTGGGCCGATAGTATTTTTGTTGTTGATTATGCATGCTTTGGAGAATTACTGTCATTCGATGCTACTTACAAAAGGAACATTTACCAGATGCCTCTCGTGATTTTTTCAGGTACTTTTCCTTCACACATAGAATTATCCCGAGCATGCTAAAATAACCCTAGAAGTTTGCATAATCTAACTTTGTTTGAACTTTTTTGGGTGTCAACCACCATTCGCAAACTTGCGTATTTGCATGTGCTTTCTTGGCTAACGAGAGAGAGGAAAATTATATTTGGGTGTTGAGAGCTTTAAAGAGAAGGCTAGGCGGTGTAGATCCCAAGACTGTTATTACAGATGGGGATAGAGCAATGCGTAATGCTATTCAGAAAGTATTTCCTGATGCAACACATCGTCTATGTTCCTGGCATATAGACAAGACTATGACCATAAATGTGAAGAATCATCCTACTATTTTGCCCCGATGGAAGCATTTTGTGTCAGCTGACTGGGAACCTTCAGAATTCGAAGAAAAGTGGAAATCAGTGGTTGAGGAATGCTCCCTTCAGCACAACAATTGGGTCTCCAATTTATTTGAGCAAAGACATGAATGGGGGTATGCATATTTGCGTTCGAAGTTCTTCACAGGCTTGAGTACAACATCAAGATGTGAAGGACTGAACTCTCAACTTGCCAATTATATCGAGAAGGATAAAAATCTCCTTGAGTTCTTTATTCACTTTGATCGTTGGACTAGGGATATGAGGGAGAATGAGCGTCATGCTGATTTTGAATCCATTCATCGAGAACGAACCATCACAAGCAATGTCTTAGTCTCACTTCAGAAGAGTGGAGCGGCGGTTTTCACAAAGAACGCATTCTTCTTATTCAGAGACGAGGTTGAAAAGTCGGCATGTTGCATAAGGTTGGAGACAGAGCGATCGGAAATTGAGCGTGTGTACAAGGTCAAGGTGTCTGGCATGGATAAGGTTTTTCAAGTCACGTACACAGTTGAACCCTTCACTACAAGAAACTGTACCTTCTGCGACGAATTCTTTTGCGACGACAAGAAATTCGTCGCAAAAAGCACACATTTTGCGACGACATTTTCTATTCAGTCGCTGATAGTGTCAGGTTCCAGAGGAAGATGGGGCGGAGGTTTCCGCGACGGAATTTTACTTTTCACGACGATCTATTTCGTCGCAGAAAATTAACAGATATTTTGCGACGATACCCTTCGTCGCAGAAAGCTTGAAGATTTTTCGCGACGAAGAAATTCGTCGCATTATGGTAGTTATATTTCGCGACGACCATTATCCGTCACTATATCATTTAGAGGTTTTTGCGACAAAAGACTTTCGTCGCATAATGTTTGTGTTTGCATCGACTGGCTCCGTCGCTGAAAAAATTCAGCCGAAAAATCTTATGTTGGAAACGGTAACGTTTTATTTTATAATAAATTAAGATATTTTTAGCAAACCTTTTCTCCACACCCTGTGTCCCGTAAGTTTTTAATTTAATAAATAAATAAATGTTTTATTTACCTAATGAAACGGTGGCGTTGGGGTCTTCTTTCCCTTTGGCTATCCTTCTTCGATCTTTCATTCCTCAAATTCTAGAACCCTAAAATTTCTCCTTGAACTTGAAAGAACGAACTCTCACCCAAATGGCGCCGTCGAGAACCGATTCTCCAACGCTGTTGGCGGGAAATTCCCTTTGATTCTGTATGATAGTGCTCTTCGATTCCGCCCGTCATCCGTCGCATCTCCTTCTCTCTGTCGATTCTCAATTCTTCTTTCCGTCCATGAGCTCAAGAGTTCCCTGTAAGTATTTCTTCAATGTTTCCCTACCGACATGCCATTCAGGTTGTGATGTGTTCATTTTCGACTATTGCAGAAGGTTAATTGGTGTTGGGGGCGAAGGATTCAAGCATTAAGGCACGAATTTTGGAGGGGCATGTACGACATGAAAAAACTAGGTTTTCCTGGATGAGTGCAGTGTTATAAATCGCCAATTTAACCCCTCTTCTTGCCTCCATTCTGTTCCAGATCTCGTCGTCGACCAGTGACTCCATTCTTGTTCCTAGAACTCCTTCCCCATGTCCTGAAGCTCTCTGCCTCGATCTCCTTGAACGCTCTGCAGCTGCAAACCGTCGTGTTCCCTACTTTCTCCTTGTCGGTTGTAGCTGTTTGTTGAGACTGTGAGTGTGTTACTCGAACTAGAGTTACCCAGTACCCTTTTCCATCTCTTTGTTTATTTTTATCAATTCCCATTGATTTTCCTTCATGCCTTTTTGGCTTTGCGTGGGTGTTTATAGAGAAAGGAAGGGAGGGGAGGTTGTGAAAAGTCAATATGGAACTTTGTTCTTGAATTGTGCTTTTCTCTTGGCCATGTATAGTTGCGTAGATAAGGTTTAATTGTTGCCTCCTCTGTCTCTCACAGCAACACGTTTATGTTTAGCTAGCTAGCTTAGTTTATTTGTAGCAGTGTAGGAAGTAGGAAACTAAACTTGGTTTTCTTTTATTTGAAATTTTTCTGTTAGTACTTGAAGTCTTGAAACTTCATATGTATAAATATTAGTCAAAGGTAACTTACTCGTTAGCTAAAGAACTTAGTTAATAATTTATTTGTGTAATTAGAGATAGCCAGATTGCATAGTTTTTACAATTCCACCCATTATTATGAAATTGAATCGGTAGACTTCTTAGCTTGATACTTCTTGGTTTCCAAAATATTATATGAAACTAGTTAAACTAGTCGGAAAACAAAAAATACCACTTCAAGTCAGCAACTTGGTGAAAAGGGAGGCTATAGAAGAAGAAGGTATCACACAACTAATTAGAGGTTTTTTCTTGTTACCTTTTACATTTATGCTACACTTATTAGATCATTGAAGTCTAACTAGATACTTACACTAGGATGGATAAATCTTGGATGAAGAAGAAGAGGTTTAGCACAGATTACATTCAGGGTGTTAGATCTTTCATAAGTTTTATAGAGCAACATCTTGGTCACAACGATGATGTTCATTGTCCATGCAAACGTTGCTTGAACGTTTATAAGGAGCCACTTGAAGGAGTTTTTGCCCATTTAATGATTAATGGGATTGACCATGGATATACAACTTGGGTATATCATGGTGAGCCATCTCATTCTCATATGAATGACATCACAAATGGTGATGTTGATAATGTAGTAGGTGGAGATGAAGATTTCGATGATGAACTTTTTGACTTATTAGATGAGTATCAAAATTTCATTCATAGTGAAGTAAGCGATGGAGGTGACTTAACTGATAAAAGTTATGAAGATTGTGTGGAGATGCTTGGAACTGGTTGTTTTGTGTCTTATGTGCATTTTAAACAGAAAGCACAGCAAGAGAGTGGTGAGCTGTCAAAGATGGAATTCTTCAAGTGGCTGGATACCAAGGATACTGGAGTTTGGAGGAACCCACACAAAAAAGAACAATATGAAAGTTTGACTTATGAGAAGTAACCATCTGGTTCCTTCTTTAAAAGCAAATGTTTATTATATTCCATTCATCTTCTACCTACTGCCCATTGTTATTTGTCGTGCATTTTATCATTTTTTAGTGATTCTTGTTCATCTCCTCATATGAATTTTGTAGGAAAAAATGCAGGAGCTTGTTGATAGTTCTAAAGATAGTGATAAGCCCGTTTCTGAAGATCAGGCTTTTCATATAGTTTTGGGTTACAACTCGGGATATTGTCATGGACTTGGGTATGGACAGTCAGCCCCATCTAGGAGGAGAGATAATGTGGATGCCAACTATGAACAACTATTCAGGGATAAAAGCCAGCTACAAGACCGGTGTGCGAATCTTGAGGAGCATGTGACTCAACTTAATGAAAAACAAGCTGAGTCTAATCAACAACTTGCAGCGACTACTGACAAATTGACAAGGGTAGAAGAAGAACTTGCAGAATTTAGGAGGATTATGGCGAACCTTCAAGCTAGAGGCAACATTTAGCTAAACAGGCAAGAGAAGTTCTTTACTTTCACTTGAACTCATTATGATGGAGACAAATGGTTGGATTTTAGCGGAATATAGTCAACATCGAGGTTGGCAGCAAAAAAGTATTGAAATTGACATTATGGTAAACACATTGCTAGACAAGGGATACGTCTCTATAAGTAAGGAGGACTTACCCTTCAAATTTTATTAAGCATCTTAATAAGCATGGATCATTTCAATGTTGAATGTGTTTGAATGATATATATATAGTTGTTTTCCCAATATGAGGTATTCTCATTAATGTGGGTCTTGAAGGAGACAATAACTTGTGCCCTTCATTGTTTTTTTTGTACAGATTACCTTTGTGATGATTAGTATTTTGGATGCACAGTAGCTAAAGAAGCCATGCAGCTAACTTAGAATTTTGGTAAAACTACTCTTAACTTTTTTTATTGTTTCTTTCGAACTTGTGTTTTTGTATACCAAAGTTATCATATTAAGGTGCTTCCTTACTGAATTTTGCAGGTTATCAACTAGTGTTGATCTTTTTGCCATGGACAATGATTCGACAGCATGTACATGTCGTGAAGTCTGTTCCTATGATGTGCATAACTCTAGATATAGGGGGCTACTAATATTAAGATTCCAAATGTTATGGATAATTATATATGAGAGATTGAGATCCTAGTAGTACTGGTAGTATATATGGCTTGTATAAACGACAACGGAGCTACCAATTTGAACTATGTTATGAGCTACAAAGGACTTGTGTTTGTCTAAACAGGTTGTTATCAATACAAAAGATCAACAAAAGAAATTACAGCAATGCAGGTTAGTTTTGGCGACGAATAAACTTTTTGTGACGGTATATTTCGTTCCAAAGTAAGTTACGTTTTACAGATTCAGAATATCAGCGACGGTGCGTTCGTCGCTGAAGGAGACATACTATTAGCGACAACAGAATTCGTCGCGAAAAATAAACTTTTCGCGACGAAATAATTTCGTCGCAGAAAATCGTACAATTGCGACGAGTGAAGTCGTCACCAATAACCACTTTCGGCGACGACAAACCTCGGTCGCAGAAAATAGAGAAACAGCGACAAAGACATCCGTCGCAAAATCTTTCAAATTATGCGACGCAGTCCTCCGTCGCTAATGTAACATTTGGCGACGAACATGTCGTCGCGAAATATCTAGCTTTCAGCGACGAATGTATGCTTTTCTGCGACGAACTTGTATTTTTCGTCGCAAACCCTTTTGCGACGCTGTATTGGCGACCACCTTTGGGCTTCTTTTGCGACGCCAATATTCGTCGCCGATATGTTTTCGCGACGGATTTTATATTTTCCGCGACGACTTTTTCCGTCGCAAAAAATGAAGTTTCTTGTAGTGCTTTGCAATGAAGTGTAGTTGTAATCACTACAATTATATGGGAATACCATGCCGTCATATGATTTTTGTACTGAAAGAAGAGAGCATACTGGAACTTCCTGAAGGCCTAGTATGTCGAAGATGGTCAAAGAAGCCGAAGACACTAGAGAGCTTGGAGGAACCGGACATAATAGATGAATCGCAACTTTTCGCATTGAGGTTTGCCATGACTATCACTTTTAATTTTTTTTATATTGGTTCGAAGCTAGGTGAACATTAATTTTACTCACTTTGTATAAAATATTGTGTCAATCAGGTATGGTACTATTCAACAAAACAGCTTACAACTAATGTTAAAAGGGACAAAATCTAGTGAGTGCTTCAAGATTGCTCATGAGGGAATTCAATCATTATGTGAAAAGTTGGACATGGTGGACACTGGCAACGTGGACATACCCGGCATTAATAGACCGATGGCGAATGAAATTTTTTTGGATCCATTACAGGTCAAAGCTAAAGGTTCGGGGGCTAAAAAATCTAAAAGGAAGAAAGGAGAACCACGACAGTGTAGCAATTGCGGTGAATGGCGCCACTATAGGACCCGATGCCCACATCCTGTTGGCTATGTGATGCCAACCTCAAATGGTGATGCCCCAAATGATGGTGTTTCGGAAGAAGGTGGCGGTGGCGATGACACCGATGTTGATCCTCCCACCACTCAAGATCAGTCGGAAACAGTACCGAAGAGAAGGCAAAAGCATTGCAGTAAGTGCGGTTCTACCAATCATAATGCAAGAACGTGTATTGGGTCTGGGACATCCGATGATGAAAATGACGATGATGAAAATGACGATGACGACGATTACGAGCAACCTAGGGTAAGAATAAAATATAATTGTTCGTGTCTACACAATGCAGTTGCATCCAATATTTTTGTACGTCTAAAATCGTCGTTATCGATTTTGCAGAAGAGGCCAGTTACAAGAAGTAGCAACCTAAGGAGTGTTGAAAACTTGAAGTGAAGATGGAAGTCCTTATCCTATTCGGATTGGGACTAATGGACTATGTGAAGACTGCCAGTATCAGCTTGAAGCGGCGTCGTTTGATTTATAAGAAGACTGTTGCCGTTTGTGGTGTCGTTTTACTTATGTGTCGTTTTATTTATGTGTCTCTTTGGTTTATAAGAAGACTATTGCCTTCTACGGTGTCGTTTTATTTAGTTCGGATGGATTTGATTGAATTCGATATGGAGGTTGCTCCCGCAACATTTCAGTTGAATTATTTTTCTCACTCGTTTTTTTATTGAAGTATTAAATTGGATTTTTTACTTGTTTATAAAGTTACTTAATTTTGGCTACTAAAATTATGAAATGTAATTTGGGCGTGAAATGACAAGAGCATGCGCCGATAGAGGACTTCAGAAAATGGAGGCAGTAATCAAGAAATAAACTACAGTATTTTTATTGAGTGAAAGATCCCTCACCGATATATTATTAAGATCTCAAACACTAAAATTACAAATCTTGAAAAACAAAACAATGTACTTTCCATCCTCCCACTTTTATACTATACATATGGAAACTTTCCCCTCTTGTATATATTTTTGGAGCATGATCAACATGTACGCGTCAATATCGCACAAAAGAACCATCATATGACGTAGGGTTCCACAACACCTATTATGGAATCGTAACAGCATATGATGATTCTTTCGGCAATATCCAGACGGCGACTTATTTTCATTGCTCCCCTCCGTGCCTCTAACAAAGACCCTGCATGGAGAGAAAAAGAGAAACAATACAACGAAGGATTTAGTTCAACGGTCATGATCTAACAATGACATAATGAAAGGGGTTGATTTTCAGAGTTTCATATTGAGAAGATGGGAGAAAGGGGTCTTTTCAGGGATTGAGAGGAGGAGGAACGAACAACAGCAGGGGATGAGTGCCTCTCGGGTTTCGGAGCATGGTCTCTCCCTCTCTGATTAAAGAATTTATAAATGAGCTCATAAAATTACTTTGCCTTTCCAGCCCTTCCCATTTACTGAAAATCACACTCCCTACCGCTGCCTTGGCCTTGGTAACGTCAGCACTGGTTAGGGGCAAATGCGACTTTCCGAAAACGGCGATATCTGATTGGGTGACACGCCGCGGTTAGGATTGAAGCTCTTTCACCATCGGATTAAAGGAAAAGTTTAGGAATTGACGGCGGGAGATGGGGATGTGATTTTAGACTGGCTTTGTAGATTAACTAACTTTTTCGTTTACCAAAATTAATCTCCTGATTTGGTACATGTTATTGTAACCCTAAACCCTAAACCAAACCCTAATACACGAACCAATCAATACCATATACTCTACAACAATAACAACACCTTATAGGCTTATACCGTAACCAATCAATTACATATATACTTTAAACCATCAACACCTTGCTCCTCCCTTATACCGTAACCTTCAAGACCTTATATTGTATACCAACAACACCTTCTTCTATCTCCATCCCCAACTTTCAATTTATAATAAGTGTTTCCTTTGAAATATTAAATGGAATCCACCTTGGCAATTGCTAGCATAATTTAGGGATGTAGATGAATAGAAATTGATAAGTGATGAATTGCTAAAATTGATGATGTGGCGGTAGGGACCTCGTTTAGAAATTGTTGTTCAATTTTAGGGATGAAGATGATCAATACACTAACCCAATACCATATACTCTAAACCATCAACACCTTATACAATATCGTATTTTAGGGATGGAGATGATCAATACACTAACCCAATACCATGTACTCTAAACCATCAACACCTTATACAATATCGTATACCTATACGCTGATAAAATTTTTGCTCAACTAGATTACATAGGTACTTCAAAATTGAAATTATAACTTGCTTTTCAAAACATAAATTAAAAATTGATACTCGCTAAGTATCGAACCACAAACCTCTACTTTATTGACTAAGCAAATAAAGGACAATTAACCAATTAAGCTACATCACATTGATGACCATCTTGCATAATTTCGCTTTCTTATTAGGTGAAGGGTTAAAATGAACGATAAATATATCACAGGGGATTGTTTCAACTTCATCGGGTACTGAGAGAGTGGAAAAGGGGTAATTATTCTACCAAAAAAGAAAAGAAAAGGGGGAATTAACGAAGAGTTAAATTGGACGGATTGTCTTTAGCACGCCACTACCACCCAAAATCCTTCGGAGCAAAGACATGTTGGTTCAAGTCAAAGAATAAATGAAGAAAGATGAAGTTAAGAACTCTAACTAATTTTGATTCCATATGTGGCGAATCGCTAATGGTCGGGATAACCAACATAGCAAAATCGTTAATGAGAACCTACTTTGCACACACCAAATCATTTTATCTCGTACCGATAAATGTGTAAAGAGACACGCTACAATAATTATGTCTAAATTTCCTGATAATAAGGCATGATCAGCATTTATAAGAAGATGTTAAGACAATATAAAATCAAGAAAAATAAAACAACACCTACCCTCAGCCGAACCAATCAATACAATATGCTCTAGACCATCAACAATTCAACACCTTATAAACCATCCCATATACCATATACTCTAAACCATATACCATATACTCTAAACCATCCCATATACCATATACTC